TAAAGCAACGAAAAGTAAACAAAATGGGAAGGAGAATGGCGGGTTGGGTGTTTTTGAATTATATTTTGTTCTTTTGTGACTGGTTCAACCGGTTAGCGCATGCTAATGGCGAAAGACGCGTTAACTTTAAGAGTTTTGGGCCTGGACGATATGGTCAATTAAGATTGGTGGGTTCACGCAATGAATCCATCAGTTCACAGAACACAAACTCATTTTAGATAATTTTTATGGGGAAGGAGAGCATTTCATTGGTTGTTTCAAAAATGACATGCAATAAAAAAATTAAAAATTGACAAAAAGGAGAAAATTTCTAGACAACTGTGTTTTAATATATATATATTATTTATTTATTTATTTACGGTAAGTGTTTCCTCTTACGAAAAAAAAAAGAAAAAAGGTTAGTATTTTCTGGTCTTCTTTAATTTGACAAAAAGTGTTTCCTAATTAGGTTAAACAATGTAGGGATGTAAATGGATAAAATCGGATTCAAATAAGGGTATATCCGAACCCGACCCGACATTGTTCATGTCAAATCCGATCTGATCAGATTTGATAGGAGTCGATCTAAATTCGAATCATATCAGATCTTCGGATCAGATTTGATCCGACTTGTTTTCTTTAAAAATTAATAAATTATTAAAAGAAAAAATAAAATATACTAATTTAAATAAAGAGAAAACAAAAAATACAGTATTTTTAATTATTTTCATCATATATATACATGTTTTTATAAATAAATAAATAAATAATATAACAAATTTATAAAAATACAATATAAATAATATATTTATAAATAAATAAATAACACACACACACATATATATATATATATGTATTATATATATGTATATATATATGTATATATATATATATGTATGTAGTGCAGCTGTTCTGATATGCCATGTGTCATAATGTCAGTGGAGGGCCAAATCTACCATCATCAATTGCCCCCCACTCCCGAGCTGAGATCAACTCAACGAAGGGAGTTGATTTGTGCTTCGTCGGAGGTCCTTTGGTCTGTTACCAACATATTTTGAGGTCGGCTTAGGGGTCCTTGATGTTGAAAGCAGTTTGGCTTCCCCTTGTCATATGTGCGTCAATGTTAGAAATTAAGTAGCGGGTTGGTATCACGGCTGCTCTGTGTTAGTCCTCTAAGGTGCTGGTCATCTACTCCTATGACAAGCCACAAGGAGCTCAACCTACGGGGGCAACTTTACTAACTGCAGGTTGCCAACTCGCATGGGAACTTTGAAAGGCTCAACCCGCAAGGGTGACTGCAGTCCGTTGGCCGCCAACTCCCGCGGGAACCACTGAGGACTCGACCTGCAGGGGCGACCTCACGAACAGGGCTGACAAGGCTCATCCGGGCTGATTATGTGTCACTAGGTCGGCGGAGGTAGGTCGCCATCTTGGAGGCAAAGGCAAATCGCTAGGTCGGTGGAAGTAGGTTTCCAGGTCGGCAGAAGCAGGTCACCAGTTCAGAGGTAGGTCTCTAGGTCGCCAGTTCGGAGGCAGGTCTCTAGGTCGCCAGGTCGTCGGAATTTTGATAGTCTAGTTTTGCTCTCAGCACCTCAACCTACAAGCACCTTGTCACCTTGGCAGGACTAGCCTGCAAGGGCGACTCCACAACCAGCTGGCCATCAACTCCCACGTAAAGCATGGAGGGCTCGATCTACGGTGCGACCTCACAATTTGTTGGCTATCAACTCCCATGGGAACCACGGAGGGCTCGACCTAGGGGGTGGCCTCACATTCTGTTGGCCGCCAACTCTCGCAGANCTATCAACTCCCATGGGAACCACGGAGGGCTCGACCTAGGGGGTGGCCTCACATTCTGTTGGCCGCCAACTCTCGCAGAGAGCACGTAGAGCTCGACATATGGGGGTGGCCTCATAGTTAGGGAGATTCTGTTCAAGCAAGACTGTGAGAACTCGTTTGGGCTAATCATTTTGTTTTTGCCCACCTAGGTTCTTTCGATCAAGCGCTATTGTTGTTGCTTGAAGATGTTATTACTTGAGGCTCAGAGAATCGAGTGAGAACATAGCCTTTTGTAGCGTTTCCCACAGACGGCGCCAATTGATGATGCACATTTTGGCAGCTCTCGGTTGGTTAGTGACTCAGATGCCCGGCTGAATAATCCTTACCTGGAAGGTGGCTTGGACACCTAGCTGAATGGTTCCTACCTGGAAGGTGGCTTGGTCGCCTAGCTGAATGGTGACAAGCTGGAGAAGTGGCTCTGATGCCTAGCTAAATGGTGACGAGCTGGAGAGGTGGCTTTGATGCCTAACTGAGTGGTGATGAGTTGGAGAGGTGGCTTTGATGCCTAATTGAGTGGTGACGAGTTGGAGATGTGGCTCCGATGCCTAGATAAATGGTGACAAGCTGGAGAGGTGGTTCTGATGCCTAGCTGAATGGTGATAAGCTGGAGAGGTGGCTTTGATGCCTAACTGAGTGGTGATGAGCTGGAGAGGTGGCTTTGATGCCTAGCTGAATGGTGATGTGCTAGAGAGGTGGCTCTGATGCCTAATTGAGTGGTGACGAGCTGGATAGGTGGCTCTGATGCCTAGCTAAACGGTGACGAGCTAGAGAGGTGGCTCTGATGCCTAGCTGAATGTTGATGAGCTGGAGAGGTGGCTCTGATGCCTAGCTGGAGAGGTGTCTCTTATGCCTAGCTGAATGGTGACGAGCTAGAGAGGTGGCTCTGATGCCTAGCTGAATCGTGTCGAGCTGGAGAGGTGGCTCTAATGTGGCCTGCAAGGAAATAGTGTCAGAGTACCTGGGTTGCTTTACCCAAGGTGGGCACTCTGATGCTTAAGTTAGCGAATCAGAGATTTTAAGATAGCTAAATGTGAGAGAGTTGGAGAGCTGCGGGAACTAAAAATTGTGCATCTACCTAGGTCTCAAGGGCTGATGCCCTTATATAGTTGGGCTACCGTGGGTCTCGCGAAACGCTCCCGGAATCCTCGACCCATGACGTAGAGGTCCGTTCCGCTTTGGAAGGAGGATAACGTGCCAATTAATAAGGCTTATCGTTTCCCTCCGATTCGGGTAGGATGGGGATAAGGCCTACGATTACGCGGCGTGATCCCGAAAGGTTCGGAGACAACTAGCAAGCTTATAGAAAGGTAGGTTGCCAAGTTGGCGACAGAGGCAGATCGCCAAGTTGCTAGGTCGGCGACAGAGGTAAGTTGCCAGGTCGCCAGGTCGACGACAGAGGTAGGTCGCCAGGTCGACGATAGAAGTAGATCGCTAGGTCGACGGCAGAGGCAGGTCTCTAGGCCGGCGACAAAAGTAGGTCGCCAGGTCGACAATAGAAGTAGGTCACCAGGTCGACGGCAGAGGCAGGTCACCAGCTGGGACCCCATTTTGGCCAAGGCAAGTTGTCGCCTAGGTGATGCTGGGATGTAGTCCAACTGTTCTGATATGCCATGTGTCATGATGTCAATGGAGGGCCAAATCTTCCCTCATCAATTACATTATAGTAAAAATAAATAAAAACACATTAAAATATTTATTTTATTAATAGATTAAATTAAAGCTTTTTGTACGTACGATCAAATTTAAAATCAATGCATTACATTATCTTAAAAATTATTATTTATAAATTATAAATGCAATAAAAAAACTTATCTCTCTCACCACACACATTATCTTAAATTTTAAATTTTTGCCTCTAGGTTTCTGGTAGCTTGTTCAACCAGCCGGGTTGAACGTTTTAGACTCTGCCACATCACCATATACATGTATTAGGTATATATATTTATATACATATGTATATATGTGTATAAATATATATTTTATCAAAAAATAGTGTATAAATATATTTTAGATATGTTACATGTATTTTTATATTTAATTTATATTTTTTAACTTAGTTTTTAATTTTTTTTATTTAAAAAAAATATTAAAAAATGCAATTTGAGGTCAAAAAAGGTTTTTTTTTTTCAAAAATAACGGGGCAAGGCACCTATGGCCCATTGAGACACATAGATCTCAAAAAGTTACCCAAAATAAAAAAAAAATACCCCAATCGGACATCGGAGTGCAAAGTTATGGCCTCCGAAAGTTTGTATACATTGAGTGTGCAATGGTTGAACTGAATGGGTCGAACCAAGGTTCAAAATATCAATACATGGTGATATGCCGGTAGAGCATATTGGTCTATATTGGTACTGTTTTTATGTTTTCTTTTTATTTTTTGAAACTGGTTCAAAGGGACCAATTTAAGGCTGGTCTACCCCTGAACCAGTTGTCGACCCGAAACACCTCCTAGAAGGGCATATCGGGAAAGCTCTGATACGATACATATCGACTGATACATGACAAAATTTTGATCCTTAGATCGAACGGTTCTTGATCAAATCAATGATTTTTTGACCATCTAACTAAACAAAACCCAAAATCTTGATCGAATGACTGTTCAAACGGTTCCAACGGATTGAAAAGACTATATATATATATATATAAAGTTGGTTAACCGCGTATCTTGAGATAGCAGAGCAGGACAATGTAAGTGCAGCTTCCCCAAGTCCCCAAGAATCAATCCGAGGATGCAATGCAAATGCAATCCGATAGTTACGTGCAACCATGCATCTTGGGAATTGGGAGGCGGGCTGCAATTGCTTGTTTCATCGGTTTGGCTTTATTACATGGTGTCTTCCAAATGAGTGAAGCTGCCGCTGATTTGCATGCGTTAATCTCTCCATCCCCATTCCCCAGCAGAGTCAGACCCAGACAATGGCTGCACCTTCCTAGCTAGCAACCAAGATTGTTCATGCATGGTATAAATAGCAAACACTACTCTACTCGGACTACATGGAAGCTTTAGCCATTTGTCCAGCAGCTGGATTAAGCTAATTAATTCAATTCTTACATGACTCACTGCACCTGTGACCTCTCTTGTATGTGTAATTTTCCAATTAATGATGCGTTTGTTGTTCTGCGTCGACGTAAGCTAGCTGCACAACATTATTGTCTTTACATATGGTAAAGTTTTGCAGACAGGAAGATGGTGCCTTGTAATTTTAATGGTTCAGAATAGTACAACCTCGGTTTGCTTGAGTTCAACAATTTCAACTACATTCAGAATTTAACAGCAGTACTGACATGAAAGGAGCTAGCTTCCAGCCTGACTGGATATCTAAGTATAACCTCCTTAATTGGTGATCAGACAAATTAACAGAATGTAGACAGTCATTATGCTATACAATCTTGACACTTCATTACAGCCGGTCATGTTGACAAGTTATGCTACACTATGTGATACAAATTAATATATATATATATATAGATATATGATTCACATGAGATGGGTTTTACCAAGCTTGAAGGAGACTGAAGATGCATGGTGTGGCCTCCGGTCCCAAGAGCATAATGAGACCATGGATTCAAGGTCCTACTGAAGGCCTTGATGGGTGACAAGAAAATTTTATAAATCCCCAAGTATGTCTACTGTCGCCATAAATATTGGGAACTATCAAAGGTGATCAATTGATTGTAATTAGATTAATTCCTTGTAAAAAGCTTCTGTCTCAGAAAACACAGAAATCTAGGTTCATTCCATCATTGCAAGCCCTTGTGAGAGACCAAAAGAAAACCATATATTAAGACTGTAGTTATACTTTGGTGCAATTCTCATTTAAATAACACGTACATGGAACAAAATATTTTTATAAGATTTCTTTATTGGAAAAATAAAAAAAGAAGGGTCTCTCTTAAAAACAAAGAAAAGCCATGGAAGATGTGTGGGGATTCAATGATTTCTTATACCCCAACCAAAAGGAAATTAATTAAAGGAGGGTTTGAGTGTTTGGGTGATGACCCACTGAATCATGAGCATCCAGACCCTTCAATTGGTGCTGGTGGGTCACTCCATGGATGTCTGAGCTGATCGGGAGTGTTTTGGTTGTGACCCCACTGAATCATGATCCAGATCCTTCAATTGGTGGGTCAGGCTGCATGCATGGATGTCTAAGCTGATCGGCCGGGAGTTGGGTTGATTGAAAATGAGAGACCCCTTGGGTTCATTGCATAGTACAACAATAGTTAGAATATTTACCAGAGCACTATTTATTGAATGATGTCGATCGAATTGGCAAAGTTTGGAAGACATGATTCATACCACCTAGATTTCTGAATGGTCCCAAAACAGTCCAGATCATCCCATGTTTAACCCTTGAGCGTTTAAGCTCCCTAAGCTTGTATATATAGATATCAGGGACCCAGTTTTCTCCATCTGCAAGCAAGTTAATTGGCACAGAATTCCATGGAAGGACTCTGGCACGAACATACTATGGGCGTTGCCGCCGAGACAGATTTCTGTGATACCTTCTCATCCTTCGGCATGGGCACACAAGATCAAGATCAAGACGAAGACCGGTACTCGGAGTTCGAGTTTGGCCATGTCATTCCTGAGTACCCGACTACTGATACTACCGACGATCATGATGAATCTGATTTCGAGTTCGGTTGCATCACACCAGACTCTCCGGCTAATGATCCGGACAAGAACTACCCAGCTGACGTTTTGTTCTACAATGGTCGGCTTCTACCACATGCGTTTCCATTTCAACCGGTAAAAGTTGCCGGGAGTGGGTGTTCTCGACTGAGCCGTTGCACCAGCAGCAGCGTTAGTAGCAGGGACTCGTTCATGTCGTCTCGTAGCAACAGCAGCAATAGTAGAAGCAGCTGCTGCAGTAGTGCTCGAACGAGCTACAGCGAAAACTCAGAGAGGAGACCATCCATTTCGGACAAGAGAGTTGCAGCTCGACCACCAATTACTGGAATGAGAAACCAGGCGAATAGGCCCATGCCGCCTCATCAAAGATGGCAGTTTATAGCGCCAGCACCAATTTTGACACCATCCAAGGAGGTTTCCCGCAGAAAGAAGACTGGAATTTTGGTGCAAGAAGACCTGAAATCCAAGAAAAAAGTCAAGGATAAGAAGAAATCTGCACGCTCATCGTCTGGCTGGCAGTTTCTCCGATCATTTTTGTTAGCTTGCAGAGAATGCCACTCTCTCCAGCCGACCTTGAAAGAGAATCAGTAAATAGATATATATATATATAGATCTCGAGTAACGGCTATTTATGGTTCTGGGGTTCTCATTATCTGCGTGAAATCGCTTGATTACTGGGTTTGTAATAATTTCTTCTTCATTCCATAATTCTCTGATCTGCAACTTGTTCACTTGTAAAAAAGAAAAAAAAAAGCATTACAAAGTCAATTGTTTTACCTTTGCAACCGATCGAGTTTCTTTTCCCTTAATTCTTTAATTAATGGTTACTACAACGCTACCACCAATTGATCGAGCTGTTAAGGTTTGTTTCCAGTGTTGCAATATCACTAGCTTAATTAATTCAGCTTTTTCTTTAATATTCCGCAATGGAGAAAGATATAAGATGCCGCTGGGTCATCAGGGTCTCTCCTTCTTGAGCTGTAGTAAGTCCTTAACGAGGTTCAACAAATCTTATTTATTCCACGAGGAAAACTATCACCCGCCTTAGAAAACCGGGGACTCTCGCGCGTCCGATCGAGTTTTGCAGCATGAAAAACCACGCTTATATTGTTATATATCCAAATCCAGCTTCTTGATCTTCTCAAAATTTCAATTCATCAACACTTATAAGTTTTAACCACTCCACTAGTGGTGTCAATTATCCATCTCTCATAACCTTTGATCTTCTCTAAGGTGCTTTATTACTATTCTAGGGCCTTATATAGAAGGTTTCTGTTAACGCTTAAATATGGAAATAAGCGGGGGGATAATAAAAGAATAGAAGGCGCTTCGTCAAAGCAGAACAGGGAATCCTGGTTTAAGTACTGTTTATTCATGGAAAGCTCTCGAGGCAGGCTCCAAAGCTCATTCGAAGTCAGCTCTTAATTGCTTATTTTTCCCCATCAAAACATTAGTTTTGATGAGAATATTGGAAGGCCACACTGTTTAATTCATGGACTGCATGGTGTGTCCAAATTATGGTCTAAACCAAGAATTACTCAATTACAAATGTAGGGTAGATATTCAAGAATTTGTCCCATTCTCCGTCGTAAATTAATTTTTACATTGACAAAGTTGTTGAAAATAGTCGGCATCATAAATAATTGATCAGACTGTTTATAACATTTTATTCTCTTGATGACCAGGCAACCTCATTACTGAATTTCCTGTGGAACAAAATGACGAATTGACTTTGGATGAAGGAGAAAAATGGATGTCTCGGGTAGAAATAGAATTAATCATTTCAGGTTCTTAAAGCATGGAGTTGGGATCTCTCTCTCTCTCTCTCTCTCCAGTGTGGTGTCTCTTTCCAAATGGGAATAATACGGTATTCAACATTTTATATCTCTTACACCATGCAGTACTGAGATTTTTAAGCGTGATTTTCCCTACAACTCCCAATATGCGTGCTGCATGGTCCAAAACACTTGAATGTTTGTGTTTCCCTTCTTTGCTTTCTTAATTCTTGTTATTGATTGTACACGTTGTGGTTATTGTAATCGTTTATATATAGTTTCTCTGAAAGGGTCTCTCTACATTTCTTTAAATCAAACGGAAAACATGAGCAGATGATTGGTCCAAAGATTTTATTGAACTTCCATGAGAAATGAGTCAAGCAAACTAGGATTAGTGTCTTAAATCTTGAAATAAAAGCTGGCGGGAGTGATGATCATTACAAGTTTAAAGGATAAAGTTTATTTATAGATGAATAGCAGATGAAGGTAAAGTCCCATGCAATGACAGAAAATAGTAAATGGGGCATTGAGACATTCAAGTAGGAAAAAAGGACCAAATTTGCCTGCAGATAGAGTAGTACATCATCTCACCCTTATCCTCCTCCCATACAGATCATTATCCAATTATTCCAAAAAGGTTTCCATGATATCAGAATAGATGCCAGCTTCAGAACCTCTATAGTCCATAGGGTGGTGTGGATGATGATCTAGAGAAGAGGAAGATGATGATGAAGTCATTCTTGCGGGTAATGTAAAACTCCTCTTGAACTTGTTTTCCATCTTCCGGACATTGTTTGAATGGCTCTCCAAGCTCAAGTAATCAGTAGGGTTTGCATTACCAGGATTCTCACTTCCATTTCCGTGCTGGTTCTGTGAGTTAGAAGCTTCAGACATGACCTTATTAGATTCATCGGTTCTAACACAGAGGTTCATTGCAGACATAGAATTCTTCCCTGCAAGAACAAGGGGATGGTGTTGTTGGTTTGGCTTGTTCCCCAAGTTTTCGGGCCCGAACAGAATCTTAGCATCATCAACCCGACCAGTAAGAGCATTGAAGAAGGAGAGCCCATTTGGCCATTTTAAGTCAGAGTCATGATCTGCAATCATGTTATTGACTTGGGTCTCTGATGAATGGGGTAGGAGAAAGAGATGCGTTTCATCTTTGGTCTGTGGCAGCCCAAGGCGAGAAGCATTATGGAAATTTGGGGAACCCATGACAGAAGTTGCAGTAGGGAGTGGCCTTTGGCTCCAATTGAAAATGGGAGCAGGGGGACGGCTTGGCCCTGCCACTTGCTTTGAAGGAGCAGAGGTTGAGGAAGAAGTGTTCCTTGTTGAAGAGAAGAGCTGGGAGAGGTAGAAGCCAGATTGGTAGCCAAGAGATTCAAAGGTATGTCTCATTCTCAGCACAAAATGCAAGTCTTCAGGTATCTGAGGAGGATAGATGTTATTAACCCCCGTGTTATTCAAACAATGAAGGTGTAAATGGTTCACAAAATCCAAATGATCATTGCGAAAAATAAAAAAGAAAGAAAACAGCACAGATTAAGCTTTAATCATAGCTGAGCTAAAAAGCAGAAAGAAAAAAAGGTAAAGGTAAAGGTAAAAGGAAAAGAAAATAGTAACTCACAATCTTGCAGGATCCCAATTGTAGAAGGCCATGGCCAGCTTGAATCACAGCAATGGTCTATCCAAGACAGATTACAAAAGACAAATCTAAGCTATTAAAAGGAAAGAAATTGCAAATTACACAAAACGACATTGGCATACATGATTTTGTCCACACCTGAATTCCTGAGTTAAACTGATCAGTCCATTCAGGAGGAAGCTGCAATTATATCAAGTAGAGGACATTAAACAATCGTTATGATGGTTACATTTAGGAAAGAATGAAGCCCATCTGAGGCAGAGGAGTGTGCAAGCTTCTATGCCTTGACATTCTAAAAATTTTTAACCTTGCAGTAAAGTGGGGGTTGGGGAAAGAGAAGGTAGGAGGCTACATACAGCATCAAAAGAGCTTTGCCAGTAGTTGGAGATGTTTGGCTCACATTCAGAAGGTTCTTTGAAAACCCATTTGTGACACTTATCAGAAGCAACCTTACCCATCAACCTGTTCAAATCGATGAACCAGGCATAACCACATTGATGAGATAATTAGATAACTATATTTTTTCCACACCGAAATGGAGAAACAAAAGAAACTGAACTGAAGAAAGAAAAAATAAATAAATAAAAGAAACACCTACCCAGTACCCACCCTTCTCCATAATTATACAACTGAATGGACATTTTGCTGAAGGCCTTTCTGACTGGATCCTCCCCATCTATATCTTCCAGACACTCGGCAACTCTTCCTCGGCAAAACCCATCTTCCCACATTAACATCCTACAAAAATGAAAACCCAGCTCAGAAAAAGAGAAGTGGAAGTAAAACCCAGATCGTGTAATCTTCAGGGCCCATCTTTATCTAAATTATCCATCTCTGTCCTTTAGTCCCCTGTTTTCTACCCTCTGTTTCTGCAAGTACAAGAGTAAACAGAAATCATACTCACAAGCTACCGTTGTCGTCGCCAACCTTGCATCCATTACCACCTCTACTTCTCCTGCAATCAGGATAGAAACTCATTTACGGAAAAAAAAGAGCAGAAAAAGTACTGAGAGATTTAGTTAAATTCCACAGAAGAGCAGCAGAGTGTGTCTAACATACGGGCGTGGTCGAATGGTCCAGAAGACGGCGTAAGTCCAGTCTGAACAGAGACAGACACTCCTGAGGGCCTCGTGCAGGGCCATCATCCCAACCGCTTCTTTGCTCCTGTCTGATGCTCCTGAGCCCACCATCTCTTCCCTCACTACTCCTTTTTTCCCTCGTTCACTTCACAACAACTCCTCTTTTTCTCTTTCTATCTCTCTTAATCTTCGAATAATTATAACGTATGTGAATTCCTCTAACCAAGCCCTTTTATCTTCTTCAGCAACTCTAATGTCCTTACCAACTGCAGAGAAGATCCTTTCTTCATCTCTCTCTCTCTCTCTCTCTCTCTACCACTTCCCCTTTTGCTTCTCCAACTCCCAAGTAATCAGGTTTGGTAAACTCAGAAAGGTAAAAAAATATGAGAGAGAGATTATGAACCGTGCATGGTGCGGGTGGAGAGCTGATGATAGTTGTTGTAGTTGGCTATATATTAACCATTAAAAAACAATCTCTGAGACAGCTTTTATACGTTCTTTCTAGCAAAGCTAAGTGACAGTGAGGAGGCAAAGAAAAGGAGACTAGTTCCAATGACCGAATTACCTTCTTGCCCTTGGACTTACAGGATGAGAAGTGTATCAAGCCCTAGCATCCAAATTCCACAACCCATCATACCAACTGGACCAGGCCGGGTTCAAGAACCAAAGCTCTGTGGCCTGTGACTGAGTTGGTATATTGCCCCCAGTGTACTGGAGACATGGTACTGGATTAGAATTTATTCCTCTGCAACGTAGCTGGTTCATTAGTTTGTGCAAGAAAATCTAATTCAATTGTTCAAATCATATTTATTGTTTCGGTTAGTTAGAGGTTGTAAAAATATAATTGGTTAGAATTAGATTGGGCTTGGGTCACTCTTGATCAATAATCTGGACTAAAAATGTCTAAACAAAGTCTACCCATGTTCTTTTTAGTGGAGAATTTTGTTTAGGTCTGGTGGGTCAGCTGAGCTGAAGTCTGAACCCCTAGAAAAAGCAGATGGGTCTTGACTCTTGAAGGTGTATGCCCATCTTTAAATGCAGGTAATGAAGTATAGAATTATAGATAGATGAGAACCCAACTTCGTCTACATTCAAAATTGGCTTAGGGCATAGATTATAGGTTGGTCTTTTAGCCTCTTAGCTTTGGGCATTTCATTTCATGGAGGGCAATCAAGGCAAACCAAAGTGGCATGGAATCTTTACTGATCAAAAGATGATGGGGCTTGTGAGGATTTGGATTTGGGTTAGTGCTTAAACAAATGTAAAATAGTACATGGGGTGTCAGTTGAAAGGACCCCCTTGGGGGGCCACAATGGTAATTTTGGGGCCTTAACAAACTAAATTAAGCTGTGATAAGGGCAAAGGCAAGCAGGTGGTACAGTTTAGGGGTTGGGATGTCACGTGCGCCACGTGACATGGCAGAGGGGGCGGTGCATCGTTAAGCATAAAGAAAGAAAAGAAAGTGGGGGTGGGAGGGAAGGAGTGAAGGATTACAGAACAGACTACAGAGTGAAGATAGAGTCGTAGAGGTTTGTTTGATTGATAAATTTGATAATAAAATAAAAAAAAAAGTGTTGAATTAATAAAATAAATAATAATAATAATAATAATAATAATAATAATAATAATAATAAAGAGGGGAGGGTGGAGAAAGAGGAAGTGCGCACGAATTGCGGTGCGCTGCGCCCCCTCCAGACGACATACTTCTCCTAATCAAAAATAGGAAAATAATAAATCATCTCATTCTCATCAATCTCTCATCCTTCCTCCGCTTTGACCGCCCGTGGCTTCAGCCCCCGCCTCACTGACCATATCTCTTTGTAGGACCACTATCTTTCTCTCTCCTCCAACTCCACCTTACCTTTTCCTAAAAACCTTCTCTATCTCTCTCTCATAAGGGTACCTATTTCCCCATTCTTGTGGGACTTGTGGACTCAAATCCTTTGTGGTAGGATCAATAAAATATTTGAAAGAAATCTTTCATTCCAATCCACTGAGGGGTATTATTTATTATTTTTTGGGTACAACCTCACAATTTTTTCTTTTTTTTTTTGTAAATAAATATTTTTGCAAGTGTTTAATCTTAGGGTATTAATTGAACACAATAAAGATATTGTTTATAACCTCTTTGCTTATGTTTCCCTCCAATCAATCCTCTATGAAGGAATCTATGTGAAATATTCTAAAGTCTCTCCTATTATAATTTAAAAAACCAAACCAAGGATAGATTAACAAGGATATATTAAAAAAGAGTACTAAAACCCATGAAAAACTTCTTTTAGTTATTTATTTATTTATGAGTGAAAAATCATGCAAACTGTGGTTAGACATTCTGCCCAATTAATGCATGCCGTTGGTGGACTGGCATTGCAAGCTGGTTTGGATCCAACTAGCTTATGTATTTGTACTTCACTAGTTGTAGAGCTTTAAACTATTTTACTGATCACACAATTGAAGATTAAGTTCAAAGTTTATTGTGAGAGACAAAGAGAAAAGATGATTAGTTATACTAATTAAGAAAAGTAATTAGCTGGTGATTAAAGAAATAAAGAGATAGATCAAATTAATAAATGAGAAAGGAAAAAGGTATAATTTAGGAGGCATTACTGGGTGAAAGCAAATCTTAGGCTGATGATGAGGATTTGGAGCTTGAAAATGGCTACCTTGTCCATGTCAATTGCAGAGGTTGCGTTCATGTCAATTCACCCCTCCCAAGACCTCGGTAGCCGAGATGAGCAATGTATTATGGCCTTTATGGCCATAAGAATTGTAAAAGTAAAACATTTTGGCTCCTTTTTACTTGCCACCTTTCCCATATCAAAAGGATGGGAACCCCATTATTATTTCCATGGATCCCACTATTTTGCTCTTTTGTTTGTCTGTTTTCTTGTTCATCGTCATTGCACCCAGCTCAACCAAGCTGTATCTTAATTACAGGGGTTTTGACTTTTGAGCACATCACGCTCACTTTTTAAGAAAATACTTGGCTCTTACAACTATGGTGGACATGCATCCTACTCCTTTTTTTTGTATTTAGGGTTTAAGACTTAGGATTTATAAATTAAAAATCTAAAGTTTAGATTTAGGATTTAGAATTAAGGTTTAAGGGTTTAGCATTTAAGATTTAGGATTAGGGTTAAGATTTTAAGGGTTTAGAGTTTAGATTTTTAAGGTTTAAGATTTAAAATCAAGGTTTTGGTTTAGGTTTTAAGGTTTATTGCATGTCGTCCGATGTGGTAGGAGCCAAGTATAACCCCCTCTTTAATGGAATCTTTCAATCCATCACTTATTAGAGCTATTTTGTATAAGTTTGGATAGATTCAGCTACTTTTTATAATTCTATTGTTAGTTTTGTCATCTATCCTTTTTAATTTCCTCATCTTACGGGATTTATACTCTAATTTTTCCAACACTTGTTCCAATGTGTACGATTTTGCTTTGCTAAAACAAATAAAATCAACGTTTCTGATGCATAATATAAAGAACCTTAAAATACTAAACAGAATGGAATGGCCAAATGGGAATCATGCAGTGCACCCCTCAGGCTTAGATAATGATGATGATGGTGGTGGTGGTGATGGTGGTTTATTGCTTTCAAGTATCTCTTGGTAGTTAATCTTGAGTAGTATAATATGACTTCTGATCCTTTCAGTGTTAGATTTGTGCAGTATTTATATTTTGTCTTAATTCTTACTTATCTTAAAACATTTTAAGGGAAAAACATATTTGCATAGATAGGTTCGACTTAAATGGCATGGCTTTGAAATAAGCTTAAGAACAAAAGAGCAGGTTGAAGTTGAACTGTCTTCGAATTGGGTACCTATTTCGAATCAGTAAAGGGTCAAATACAGCTGGTTCAACCCAATCTGAATGTTCAATCTTTTTTTTCTTTGACAACAATCTTACTTATCAGTAAGAAAATTAAAGGGCATTGAATAGTGGTGATGGTGGTGGTAGTCCGTACTAGTAACCAACGCATTGCCCATCGCATTTTCAATAGCCCAGTTTGATTCATTTTCAAAATAACCATCTTTCTCTACAAGTGGGAACCACTATTCACTACTCTAACATTCAGAAGAGATAAATTCTCCTTGCTGGTGCTGATAAGCGGAATATGCCGCCGGAAAAAAACTGAAATCGACGGGAAAACACCAAAGACCATCATATGAAGATATTCACCATTTTATTGGAAAAATATCATTGGAACAGAGTGCATTTTCCACCATTAGAAGTGATTTTAATCCTATCATTGTCGGAGAAGACGAACAAGGTTTTTTTTTTTTATTGCTATTTTGTTTCTATCCATTTTCTATGTAACTTACTACAAGAGTTGTTTTATCGACTTATTACAAGGTTATTTTGTCCTTCATGAGAATGATGTCGTTCGGGGTGTGAACTATCTTGCCAATGCTGTTGGGGATGCAACTGCCGCGATTATTGCAACTGCCGAAGTGGCTGTCATTAAGGAAGATGGCATCGAGGTCCTTATCAAAGAGACCGAAAGGGATGGATCCCTCGAAGCCATTGAAGTGAAGATCCAAGTATTTGAGCGAAGAGAGTGACAGGACAACGTTAGGGAACCGACCGACGAAGCGGTTGTTGCTGAGATCGAGCTCGTATACAACTTGAGACACCGAAGGTATCTGGGACGATGCCGCAGAAATGGTTGGAGTTGAGGTGGAAAAGAGCCAAATCCATTAAGAGGCCAAGCTCGGGAGGGAGATACCCATTAATGTTAGCGTGGTTGAGATCAATGCCGGAGACTTATGGTTTATGGTGTAAATTGCTAAGGCAATAGGAAGTTAAAGATGAAAAAGCCTTTTCTCCCCTCTTTTATTTGCTTAAAGACAAAGGATAAAATGATCCAAAAATTATCAATAAGGGTAATTTTCGTATTTTCTAATTATTTAATTCACATATGATGTCACACTGATTGATGGTCCCTTAACAACAAATACAGTGTTGCATTCCAAAAATTCGTTTAAGGAATTGTTTAAGGATCAAATTGTTATTCGAACCAAAATATAAGTTATTAATTGAAAATTTTCCCTAATAATAAATTTCATTTTTTTTTATCTTAGTTTATCCTCTTTCCACTCTAATAATCTTCACCTACATTTGTTTTTACTGTCCCTTATATATACATTTTTCCTTGGTAGGTTTCTTAACATGGTTTATCCCTCCAAGTGCAAGGCGTAAGGGGGCCTTCATAGTCTTTTGTTGTTCGTTTGGAGATTTATACATTAAATCATATGAAAATAAGAGAGAAAGGATAAAATGCAAAATCTATTAGAGGAGAGATGAGAAGAATTTAAGGATAATACTATCATTAATATTAAGGATGAAATTTACTCATGAGGAGTAATTTGGCATTACCTAGTAAGTAAAGGTCACGTAGACGCGATTTGCCCGTAGAATGATAATTCAGCAAGGGGAGCCTACTCAGCAGTTTACAG